GCCTGTATACCGAACTGACTTCACTTCAAAGTTAAGTTCCGAAAGCGTGACTGAATATGTTATACGTGCAGAGACCACTATCACAGCATTGAGAAACGCCGGTGAAACGTTAAGCGACGGACTGCTAGTGGCAATGATTTTGAAGGGCCTGCCAGAGTCTTATGGACCGTTCGCTGTTCATGTTACACAGAGTGATGCGAATACGTCTTTTGCGGAGTTCAAAACTAAACTGCGGAGCTACGAGGCTACTGAGAAAATGCGCACCACTGAGTGGCAACGCGATGAAGGCGAAAATGCAACCTGCGTCAACCAGTAGACCTACAAGTGACCATGGAACCGAGAGTGCGGACTTTGTATGTTACAGATGTGGCCTGAAAGGACACAAAGCTAGATCGTGTCAACGCAAGCAGTGGTGTAGTTACTGTAAAAGCGCCACACACCGGGATGTCACCTGCAGACGGAGATACCAGCAGGACGACGCGCACAAAGTTTCCGAGGAGGAGAGAGACAACGAGTATGCTTTCCGGGTGAGCGACACGGATGAAGTGAAGCAGGGAGCTCGCAGTGCTAATAAGAAAGGACTAATGGTGGACACAGGTGCAACCTCACATATCATCAATGATATTTCAAAGTTCAGGAATTTTGACGACACGTTCCAACCACTGAAACATTGTGTGGAGTTAGCCAACGGTGAAAAGACCAACGGAGTTGCGGAGCGCAGAGGAGATGCAGAGGTCTGCTTGATTGACAGCAGAGGACAACATCAAAACGCGACGCTGAAGAGGGCGTTGTACATCCCCTCTCACCCGCAGGACATCTTTTCTGTTAAAGCAGCGACTGTCAGTGGAGCAACTGTAGTCTTCAAGCAAGGAGAAGATGCCCTGATATGTAGAGACGGTGCAAGATTCAACATCCATGAGTATAACAGACTGTACTACTTACATACAGTGAATGGTGAGTGTGAAGACCAATGTAAGGGAGTATACGATATGCAGACATGGCATGAAATCCTAGGGCACTGTAATTATGATGATGTTCAGAAACTACAACATGTTGTTGACGGTATGACAATCAAAGGTAAAACAGACATGTCAGCCCTACATTGTGAAGTCTGCACCCAGGGGAAAGTTTACCCAAACTAGGAACAGGGAGGCTGATGTAAGGGGCAAAAGCACCCTTAGAGCTGGTGCACACGGATGTAGCAGGACCTATAGACCCAGTGTCCAGAGACGGGTATAGGTACGCATTATCATTCACTGATGATTTTTCCAGTGCAGTATTTGTGTACTTTCTGAAAAATAAGAATGACACAGTGCAGGCAACAGAAAAATTTCTTTGCCCACACAGCGCCTTATGGC